GAGAGGCCGGCGCGGCAGCGGGGCGTGTCGGCGGCCGCGGGGTGCCGGTTCCCTCGGCTCCTCCGGGCGCTGCCCGCTCCCGGGCTGGGGTAGGTCGGGCGCCGCGGCTGATGCGGGAGCAGGTGCCCGTCCCCTCCCCGGCAGAGCTGGAAGTGTCGGTAAGGCCACACTGTCCCGCGACCTGCAGGCTCAGCTCCGCGGGCGGCCCGGGGGCCGACTCGCTATCTCGGCGCCTCTGTTCCGTGGGGTTCGTAGCTTCTCCCCCGCCGCCCCGCGCCGTCACGGTCCGGAGTGGGATCGTGCTTTTTTTCTCCACAAAACCCTGTCGTGTTCTTGTTGCAAATGCAGACTTCGGGCACTGCGTGTCATCCGCCCCAGCCCATGCGCGTATTCAATCCCAGGAAAGAAAGGGGAAGCCTAAAATAGTTGGGATTAGTTTTGCTTCCTGGCTTTGTGTTTCCTCAGGGAAACTCTTGGGAGAAGAATTGTTTCTTTCCACGCTGTACTTTTGATCTCAAGTTAAAAATCCGATCGCTGGCCTGGAGGTGTAAAGGTTGAGTGTAACTGAAGGTGAGGCACAAATTAGAATTGGAATAAGCATGACCCTTAAGAAGGTGGAACAAGAATATGAATGATTTTGTGAAGCTAAAACTAGTTTGCAGTCTTTTTGTAATTTTCTTAGATCTTCCTTATCATCTAAAAATCAATTATGGATCCTGAAGCTGAGATAAAGAAGCAAGTAAACCCTTTCTATTGCAATGTAAGTATTTCTTACAGAAAATTGTAACTAAGACAAAATAATTTTGGTAGAATAAAGTTGGACTAAACCAGGTGTGAATTTTTTTTTCTCTCGAGCAAAATTGATGAATAGCACTGGAATGTAACTTATTTTGCTGTCTTTGTCACGTTTGACATGGATGTGTGTGTCAGGAGCTAATTTATAACAATGAATATTTTTGATAATATTATGTTTTTAGATAAAGGCATTCTTTTAAAGTGGAAGGTTAAACTGAAGCTTCTCTTCAGAAAACAAAGATCCTAATTTATCAAAGGTTCTCAGGTTTACTGCTGTTGGTTTTAAGCATCTTTGTTTTTTAGAGGAGGAGAAAATATTTGGTCTGCCTTGGTTCATTCACATGAATTTAAACCTAATTTGCTCCTGTTTTGAACCAGCCCAGGCATAAACCAGGTGAGACTGGAAAACTTCATATGCCTGTGAGTGAGGCAGGCCCCAAACTGATCAGAGTGAATGTGTTAGTCTGGATGAAGCACCGAGGAGAACTGGCTCATCTTAAGACAGGTGTACTGGCTTGTTTGTTAGAGTTATGCCATGCCTCTGGTTCAGACTTGGTTAATAGTGTGTGAGGAAGGGCTTGGATCTGTCTTTCCGCACAAAAATATGCTATTGAGATAGCTGCAGGGTTCTGGACACATCTGAAATGCTTGTGATGGGGAGATTCCTTCTCATTCCACCGTATTTCGGTGGCTTTGGAGCCTCATAAAGAAAAGTTCTAGAAGCTGCTTTAGTTTGTCATTGGAGGAGTAGTACTTACCTATACTGACATTTCAATAGCAGATTTGTTTTGTTTTGATATCAGTGATATATTTTTATTGTTGGCTCGTGTACAATGCTATAGAAATACTTCTCTTTAACCTAGATTTGCAAAATCTGGTGTGCTTCTGCATTAAACTTGCAGACTCACTTCCTTGGATTCAAACACAAGACGGTAAGATCAGTTTTTGAATGCACTTTTTGTCAGATTTTACAGATTTATTTAGCAGTAGAATATGAGTTTGAAATCTATTTTTAGTGTAGTTTTAAAACGTGCACTTTCAGAGATTTAGCTGGTTTTGTTGCTTTACTATTTTGTTTACTGTGATGAAGTATAACTTAGTCTTGTACATTAGTCCTATCAGAAAATGTTGTTACAACTTTGTCTCGTATTCTGAATTATTAAAGATGATACATGAGAATACGTGGCTGTTAATAAATGCAAAATGGAATTATTTAATTTATAGACAATTTAGGAAAAAAAATGTATGTCACTTTCAAGTTTCATGTATTTATCTATTTACCTGAGATAATGTGCAGTGTTGGTGTTAATCTAACTTATTTTATAAATAATAAAAGGTTTGCATTGTTATTTTTTGAACCTTAAGGGTGTGTCTGTCTGTCTTTCTTCCTTGTTGGTTGATGACTTGGTAACTTAGGTTGAAGAAGCACTGAAAGCTCATGGCATTGGTAAGTGCAAGATTTTTGACTTCCTATCCTGCACCTTTCTCCCCACCCCAGTGTAGGTGTTTATGAAACACACAAGAAAAAGACTTTCTCAAGACCGGTGCTTTAAGACCTGTCTCCTGTTCTTTAATGATCTATCTAATCCTACAGAAATCAGTCAATATGAGCAACAGGTATGCAAAGTTTATTAAGCACTAGCTACAGTACTACAAATCACCTACATTAAAGTTTTGAGAAACCTTAAAGAATTTAAGACCTTAGAGATCTTCAAGATTTAAAATAATTTAAAAAAAACCCTATTCTCCTTAAAGCATGTAGAAATGCTTTTTCTGTATATACTTTATATTTGGTTTATGAAAGAACTTATTAGAAATATTTTAATTAGCTGAAGCAAAGTATTTTTAATAGGTTTAATATATCATTAAACCTTCCCCAGGTCTTTCTGAAGTGCTTTAGTTCCAGAAAGAATGAAGGTCTAACTATGTTCGTAATAGTTTTCCTACTTCCGTTTCATAATGTACCAAAATATATTTACAGGTTACTACAGTGTGCTGCTCCTAGAATTTGAAAGTTGTGGCCTAAGTTATACGTAGTCATTGCGCCTACCCAATCTGAGAATTTTTGTATGGACTGTAAAGGAAATTTTCAGTGATTAAATATTTAGCAGCTGGATGCTGCTGAAACGGATGCTCTGAAATGTTTAGAGGTGAACCAGCGTTATGTCTTTTATTTCTTCTGGTTTTTTAAAGGATTGGTTGGCCACTAGAAGACTTGCTGAGTTCTAGTGACCAGAATATGATTTGTGTTATTAGAATCTTTGTAGGGTTATCTTCGTAACACTTCATTTCCTTTCTTTTACTCTTCTGATCTTTCCCTTAAGACTGTTTCAGAAGGTTTGTGGTAATGCAGCTGATATTAAGCAACATCTAATTTACAGGCATGAGCTGGCAGCTTCATCAGTTGTCAACACAATATAGTTTGTAACTTAAATACTCAATAAGAGTTTTCATGAAGATTATCTCTGTAATCAAAACATATGTGACTCTTTCTGATGCAGTAGTATAGGTTGAAGCCTGCTGGCTCTTGCCTTCTATTTAAGGTTTATTGTAAGCCTTATGCTCAACTTCTTATCAGTATCTGATATTTTAGTAGAGATTACTTGCAACAGGAGAGTAACAGGGTTGAGGGGCATTCAAGAGATGAAAAAAATTCAGATTTGCCCTTAGCTGGTGTTATTTCAGGCACTGTTAGTGATTTGTTTGTTTATTTACTTATTTTCATGTAGTAAAATGCTGACTTTTCTGAATTTCTGAAATCCTGTTCTTTTTTTCTTATAGCGAGCCCATTAAGCCTTTATTCAAGGAATAGCAACTTGCTGCCTTTGCATGCTCGGCATTCCTCTCCCAAACATACAGAATCTCAGCTTGTACAGATGTCTTTCTGGGTTCCTCAATGGCAAATCATGTTAATGTGGTCATCTCTGTCTTACCTTTCTTAAGGTTCTGCAGCTCCAGCCATATCACGTGCCATGTATAGACAGAAAAAAATATTTGTTTGGGAAGGGGATAACTGCAGACCTTTGAAAAAGACAGCAGGGTTGTGGGCTGAGTCAAGTGCCCTGGCAGGCAGTGTGTGGGCTGGCAGTTTAAGCACCTTAAGTTCAGTGGATTTAAACTGAATTGCTGTGATGTACTGCATTATTGTAGCCCTGAAATTTGTGAAATGAAGCTTGGTTCATTATAGAATAAAAGATATTTGCACTGTAGTGAATCAGTCAGACTTTTCCCATGTTGCAGGTTGTCTTCTATATAAGCTAAATTACAGCCATAATTATTTACAATTTAAGCCACTGTTTAACAGTTTAATTTTGTGATGTGTTTTTGAACCCATGTTGTGTGCTATCTAGTGGCTTGATTGGTCATCTTCTCTGCCTGCTTTATTTAATTGCCTGACATTAAATAACTTTGTCATTGTTTGGTGTAAATATTTTTTCTTTGTTTTTTGACAAAGAACCTTATAGCACATTCAAAACTAAGCTTATTTTTCTCATGTCAGCAAAAGCTCAGAGAGTGTTATTTAGAAAAAATCCATTATCATATATCAAATTGGTTTCTGTACTTACAATGTTATTTCCACTTCTGGTTTGTTTTTTGTTTAGTTAAAACAGCAAGTGGCTCAGGGGAGCAAGTGAAAACACCTGCAAAACTTCCTGATTATGGTAAGAATTTTTAAGGCAAACCCCCCCAAAAAACTTGGAAGAAATAAAAAGTTTTGAGGCACAGTGTTGCAAGTGATGTTGTGGTTTGAGCCCAGAGGGCAACTGAGCACCACAGGGCTGCTTGCTCACTCCTTCCCCTCAGGCATGGGAAGGAGAAAATAAAACAAAAGGCTCAGGAATCGAAACAAGGACAAGAAGGGATGACTCACTCATTAGGGTCACAGGCAAAAGACAGACTTGGGGAAGAAAAAGAATATCAATTTAATTCAAACACCACCACCACTTAAGAATCAGACAGAGTAGCACAGTGAGAAGTATAACCGCATCTTAAAAACACCCTCTCCCATCCCTCCCTTCTTCCTGGGTTCAGTTTTGTTCCTGATTACCTCCTCCTCCACCAGCAGTGCAGGAGTCAGGGAACTGGGTTGTGGTCAGTTCATCACGCTCTGCCACTGTCTCTGCCACTCCTTCCTCCTCAGGGGGAGGACTCCTTACACTCTTCCAGTGTGGGGTCCCTCTCACAGGAGACAGTTCTCCATGAACTTTTCTCTGACATGAGTCCTGCCCTTGGGCTGCAACTCTTCCCAAACTGTTCCATTGTGGGTCCCTCCCACAGGCTGCAGTCCTCCCAGCAACAGACTGCTCTAGCATGGGCTTCCCACAGAGCTACCTGCTCCAGTGTGGGGTCCTCCACAGGCTGCAGGTGAGGATCTGCTCCACTGTAGGCCTCCATGGGCTGCAGAGTGTCCCGGTCCAATGTCAAGGGAGGTTTCAGTATGATCCAAGATTAAGACACAAACGAGGTCAAATGCCTTATACCTCAAATAGGTTTTTATTATTAAAAAAGTGAAGAGGGGTAGTGATAGGACAGAATAGAAGGAAAAGGCAGAAATAAAGCAAGCATGCAGGATAGGGCTGCAAGAATAGTCACCACCATGGATCCAGTGATGTCCCGTTGGTCCTCAGTCTTCAGTTCTTCAGTGGTGGGTGCACACAGATCAGGCTTCAATGGTAGATGCAAAAAGAGAAAGATTTTCTGCTGCCTTTTTAAGTTCATCGTACCAGCTGATCAGCAAGCATATCTACTCGTGTTTAGTTTTTTTTTTTCTCTGGTCCAACAGGTTTTGTTGCATCCTGCATCAAGGGCAGGAATGTTTGCCTCTTACCAGTTCATTAGCAATGCATGCGTGGGGTCTGGCCTACACAGTAGAGCCACACATGGCTACAGGATGGGGCCAGCTCAGTCCATGTCTGCCCCTTTCAGGCTTATGTAAAGAGTCTGGACAATGCAACAGCCAAGAAGTGGAGAGTGCATCCTTCAATACACTTTTGCTTCTCTGGGCAGCATCCCCCAGACCAACTCACAGGCCGCAGCAGCTTCTTTTGGAGGTTTGCACAGACACAAGCAAGCTTTGAGACTGTCATAGGACGTTTCAGTCTCTCACACAGGGGCACAGCCTCCCCTGTCACCACGGGATGAAGGGTCTCTGCTCCAGCACACCTTTTCCCCTTCCTCCTTTCTTTTGCTGACCTTGGTGTTTGCATAGGTATCTCCCTCACAGCTCCTCGTTCTCTCAGGTTCCCACTTCTTAAATATGTTATCACAGAGGTGTAGCCACCGTTGCTAATGGGCTTGGGCTTGGCCAGACACAGATCCAGTTGGGAGCCAGGGGAGCTTTGAGAAGCTTCTCACAGGGGCCACTGCAAAAAATATGCTATAAAAGGAGTGCAAATAGGATTGGGGAGGGATAGTGTTTCTCAATAGCTGACTGAATTTGTGATGTGGGGCCATGTATAAGCAGGGATTTATTTGAATGTGAGTTTCTCAGCATATTTTCTCTAGGCCAAAGGTTAAACTCAGGAGTTTGTTTCATTTTGGAGGGTTTTTGTGGTGTGTTGTGCGACCATGAAGACTGATTGATAGATGGATGATTTGGGATTACATAAAATTGATTTTATCTTACAGTGCAAACTGAGCTAGAGAGGTTTCATGGACAGACCTTGGAAGAACAGCTTAATACATGTAAAGATTCAGAACCTGCACTTGGTGAGGACTTTTAATACTGTAACTGTTTGTTTGTGTGATGTTTACTTTTAAAGAGTATTGATTAATTTTTTTAAAATGTAAAGTTAGGTGATGTGTAATAAAATCTTATTATATTTACAATGAGTACCCAATATGAAAGTGACTGATCATAGTGACAAAATCACTGGATTTGGCTTGGAATATTTTTGATTAGGGTAGATACCAGATGTTGAGAATATTCTCTAGAAACAGTCTAAGGTGATACGACAAAAATGAACTTTGATTGAAATGATCGTTACTATTCTTTGCAGCTTAACTGCCCATCCTGTGGAGGGAAGAGAGAATGGACTGGACAGGAAAATAACTACAGGGGCATATATTAAAATACATTCCCTTCTAAATAGTTACAATAATAGTTACAACAATAGTTGCTATTACTTTTTAAGATTATTTTTTTTTTTAATTGTCAAGTCCTATGTGGTAAACATAAGGCGTCTTAAAAAAAAGCAATTTTGTACCTTTGATGTTGGGGAAGTCTAGACACTCAAAGAATAAAATAACTAATGGTTCTAAAACCATGTTTGACTTGCAGTAATCATTTCCTTTAATGCTTCTTATTAACACAGGACTTAATTATATAATTGAATACCGATCAAAAGACAATTTCCCTTTTCTCTATGAATGTCAGCTGTGCCACTGTAAAACAGGACTGAGTAACATGTTCATGCATGTTTGTGGTTCCAAACACAGACTGGCATACCTGGTAAGTTTTTAGAGTGGTGTTTTTGGTTTTTTTTTAAATGTAATGATTTCAGTAGAGAATTTGCTAGTCATATTATGATTATTTTTTTTTTAAAAAAAAGGTGTTACATAAGCTTTTGCAAAAATCTGTTTATATTGCAACTGTGCAACTGTGATACATGGATTTAAAAATCTTCTCATCAATAAGATGTATGCTTGTCCATTGCTGACACTGAGTTTTTAGTTTATTCTGTTTTGGTTGACTAGTAATGCCAATAATGAAATCTACAGCTAAAATTGACTAGAAGTAGGTTTTTGGTTAAATTTTGTATTATCTTAAAGAACTGGATCAATGAAAAAATTGTTCCATCTTTTGGATGTTTTAAATTAAAAGGAACATAATTATAAATTAACATGATGTGTATTGAATAGAGGTTGTGACATGGAATTGGGGGGGAAAAATGTTTTATCCCCAGTTTTGTGGCTGGACAAGCCATGCAAGTTCTGTGCCTGTTTTATGGAAATTTGCAAAGCTCTTAAGATTTATGTTGGCCCACAAATGCTTAAATATATTAAGCTTCTCAGTATATTTAGAGAAAAGAGGTTTTCCAGTCTTTGAATATTTTACTTGAATATACTTGTTTAGGATGGGCTTGAACAAAACTGAGAAGGCAATATTCTGAAAAATATTTTGATACTTCACATCAAATATGTGCTCAAAGTTGGAACTATATATCCCATGTATCTTGGAGCCATAGAAAGTTGTTGAGTTCATATAGCATTTTGAAGCAGTTTTAGAACTAATGTGTTATCAGGTGTACTGATCTGCAGAGATGGCCTTTGTAAACATTCATGCTGTTTCTTGTCATTAATTCAGATGTATATGCTGAGTTTTGATGTTGTCAGCTCTTGTATTTCTGGTTTTCTTTGAACTGTTTCCTTCAATTCTGAATCTTATGCTTGTTAACTGCACTCTGCTATATCCTTAAATACTATAAAATAATAATTCATCAGGGATAACTTTTAAGTCATGCACCTGGGATGGATTAACCTTAGGCAGTAGGAAAGGCAGGAGACTAAACGGCTGGAATTTGCTCTGCTGAAAAAGAGCTGGGGATCCTGGTGGATGACAAGCTAAAGATAAGTAGTGTACCTTGGTGACAATGAAGGCTAACAGCAAGCTGAGCTATACTAACAAGTGTATAGCCAGTAGATCAAGGGAAGTGATTATTCCTCTGTTCTTGATGCTTGTTAGGCCCTATCTAGAATATTGTGTCCAGTTTTGTGCTACTGCAGACAAGAAAGCTATTGATGAAATTGAGTCCAGTGGAGAGCTGTTAAGATCGTCAGGGGGCTGAATCACTTGTACTATGAGGAGAGGTTGAGGTAATTGGTCTTGTTCAGGCTGGAGAAGAAAAAGTGTCAGGGGGATCTTAATACTAGCCCTCCAATACCTTAGGGGAGATTATTAAGAAGGCAGAATCAGGCCCTTTATGGACATGCTGGTCAGGAACATAAATTCAGACAAGGGAGTTCTCCTACCTGACCTAAGGAAGGAGTTTTTCACTGTGAGGGGCAGTCTAGTGTTGGAGCAGGTTGCCCACAGAGATGGGGGAATCTCTGTATTCACAGGTTTTTAAGACCCCTGTGGACAAAGCTCTGTGTGACCAGTTCAGCGTTCAGCATCAACCCTGTTTTGAGCAGAAGATCGAGCTTCAGTCCCCTAAATTACTCTGTGATTCTATACATAATAATTTTAATAAGTTCTACTACGTATATATAAAAGTTGACTTATTTCCTGTGATTATTAGCTGTGCTAGATCTGGAAAGGTTTGTGTAGGATAAAGTGTGACTTCAGCATTTGCATTTCCTTATTTTTTAGAAACAACATTATCCTGAGATAGCAGAATCTGATGAAGTTAAGGGTAAAGGCTCTGAACTGAACAGAAAAGTTAGGCAAGTTGCATTAACAATTGAGAAGAAAGAAGGAAGAAAACAAATAAAGGTACATTTCTTTAAGAATTCCAGAAGTTTTCTATTTATTAAAAACCCAAATAAAGTAATTTCTGTTATGGTGGGCAGATCTGCTTTGGATTGTAGTAGAATCTTGCTTTTTTAGCCTTTATTAGAAGTGCTTTTTGTTATCTTAATAGTTCTTCCAGGATTATCCTGGACACAATTTCTCATTGGTCACTCCCTTCATAAGGACTGCTTTTGTTTGCTCATGCTACCTGAGTCTAGAGAAATGTGACTCTAGAGTGCACAAATAACACACAATATCTATATTAATATTTAAGCAATTCCCAGCTGGGGGTGTGTGTATGCAAAATAATTTGTTTCATTGTTGCTAGGAAACTACCTTTATGACTTCCCTGAATTAGTTTCTGCTTTGTTAGCACCTTGTGGCAATTTTCAGAGGAGCCAGGTAAAACTTTTGGTACCACAGAGGGAAGCGTGGGAATTTGCAGGTGGATATGGGGTTATCAACAATGCCATGGGATCACAGGAGCACTACAAGCTTAAATTCTTGGGGAGCTGCACCCTTAGAAGCATGTTCTTCCAAAAAGATCTTCATATTGCTTTCTGTTGATGTTTACACCACAATAGTATTTAGAAATGTTATTGTGTTTAAGCTCATTATATCCTGCCCATGTGAAAAAAGACCCCTGGTTCTTTCTGTGTGATACAATCATAGCCCAAGGATGTGAGTCTGTACTGATCCTGCTCTTTTCCTGATTAAAAAAAGTATGGGAATATTGGAAGATGAAGTTATTCTTCTGGAGTGAATGCTCTAGAAGGGAGAGACTTCAGATAATCAAAGTAAATCTGTCTGCATATCCTCTGTTTTTAACCTCTGCTTAAAAAGAAAACCAAAACTGACTATTGGCAACAACTTTTTCTTTTGACTTCATTAATTCAAATTTATTGACTCAAGACTGTGTATTTTACTTGAGATTTATGTTCATGGATATAGAAATAATTAATTCCATCTATGTTTTACAGTCTGTTTTGTTTTTCTAGGAACAGTTTCACTACATCCATAGCAAATCCATCCTTAATTTAAGGAACTTTTAAATAGAGCATGCATAACCCAGTTTAATTTTACTGCTATATTTTCTGAAACGAGCTATTTAATTTTTTTAGCTCTAACAAAAATTGTGGTAAAAAAAAAAATTAAGTGTCCAGGTAACTGACTTTTTGAATATCTGTTCAGGGATTTACACTTTTGTGTTTAACACTACTGATCATATGCTTAAAAAAAGAAGTATTTAACTCTAATGAAATACCTATGGAATAATTTCATTCACAAAATAGCTAACATAGATAGGTTTTATTTTTAGGTTGTTACAGATGCTCCGATAATGAGGAAGAGATGGCAAGAATGTAAGTGCACTCAATGGGATGTAAATTGTACATTTCTAATTTGGGTAAACTCCCTTTGATCTAAATCAGCTTGATTTAAGGGCAAATTGAAAGATTTGGTCAGTAATTGTAGTGTGTGCATATGTTCTAAGCGGCATTTTATATAGTTTATAATGAAAATTTAATGGATGAACAAATTCTTCCATGGGCAACGTAACTAGAGAGACCTGTTCTGTATGACTTTGTTCTCTCTCCCTCTTTCCATCCCAGTCCCCCTCGCTTCCAGGATCCTTTATCTGTGATTTCTTTTTATCTGGTTACTGCTGTAGCCTCTGCAGTGCCAACTACTCAAGAGCATTTTGATGAGCTGGGCAAAAGGAGCAGGTTGGAGATCCATATGTGTATTTAATTTGCGGTCCAGAAAGCCAGACAGAATTCTTAAAGCGCAGCTGTAGCTCTTCTCTGTGGAAGAGAGCTTTTACTAGCCATTGACATTCACTAAATTGTAGGAACATGGTATCTGTGAGAACTCTCCACTCAGTGTAATCTTTCAAAACTTATTGTAGTGCAATGTCACCCAGATGGACAGACAGTACAATTGCCTGCCACTTTAGGTAATGGCTAAAAATTGCTGCGAGACCCTCGTTCTCAGACTTACACTGAAAATAAAGATTTGAATTGAAACTAATGTACTTAATTTTAATGTATATTAGTAGGTAAATGTTGTCTCAAAATAGCTCAGTAGAAGTAATAAGAATATTATTTCTATAATGATCTAGATTAGCAGTGTTATACTCTGAAGAGGAGAGATATCCACTTTGAATCTAGGAAAGTGTTTTGAAATAAGTTGAATCCTATTCAAATTACGTTTCTTGACTGTAACCTGTCGGTTAATGTGTCTAATTTTGCACGTGGCTATGTGGCATTCTATTTGTAATATTTACATATTTTAAGAAATTTATGTATGTAATTATAACCATGTTATAAAATATATAACACTTTGTTATTAATTTGTAGTTCATTTTTAATATGCTGTCACACAATAATGCTTAAAAAATTATTCTTAATGTTTGTAACTAATAGTGCACAGAAACAGAGCTAGTTGAAATTGAAGTGCAGTTTTAGAATCCTCTTCTATCAAGATAATGTCCATTGTGCTACATTTCAAGCATGTTTGTTTAGATCCTGCTGCAGATGACAGCCCTTCAAAAGCTAAAGTTCAGCATGTGGATACATCACTTAGTAATGAAGAAAAATTGGATTGTAAAAATAAGGATGGAAAAATGCCAGACCTTATTCGAGGTAAGAGAAAAATTTTTTTTCATCAATTTTTTTTAAACTTTCACCAGTGCATGAATTGTTTACTCCATATGTGCCTGTTTATAGCTTCTGTAGTTATGTTCTGCTACAGAAGATGAATTCACACAGTGTATGGATGGGTTTGTGGTCTGTGGCAGTGGAAACAATAATCCCAGTGTTTGCAAAGAAAACTGTCCAGTTTTACTTAATGTCGCTGGATACTTCAGAACAGAAACAAGACAAGATTCATAATTAGAAATTTTTACTGTGCGTATTTTTGGCAGAAGAGGCACAGACTCTTTTTGGGCCTATAAGCTGTTCTTCAGTGTCACAAAAAAAAATGGTAGCAGCTGTATGTCATACTTTGTTTAGAGCACAAGAATAATAAAAAGGAAATAGATTGGATAGATTTTTTTTTTTTAACAACATTGAAGGTATTTGGCTAATGCTTATTTTCTTGAAAACAAAACCAGAATTAAATATAAAATTTAGTGAACACTGTGTAACTGAAGAAACATCAGAAGTTGCTGTATGGTTTTAGACTTATTGTCAAAGGTGAGACTAGGGTTTTGTCTGAATGCATTATAATTATTCTCATTCAGAGTATTTCTGATCAGAAAAATGAACTTTTGCTTCGTGGCTGAACCAAATCTTTGATTTTTAGGTTTAGCTTTTATTTCTTCACAAGACACTTTACTTACACCTTCAGGTTTTATTGATGTTATCTTTTAAAAAATGTAAGCAAAGAATACTTTTAAATTAAAATATTGGAAACCCATTACTAATTATACTGGTTTTATTGTTTTAGATGAAAAGAGTGTTCAAGAGGAGCAGGAAAAAAGTCAGAAAGAACAGGCAAAAACAGATGAGAAGGTTGAACCTAATAAGGCTATCGAAAGCAGCAAAGGCAACAAGACTGAAGAAGGCAGCAAAGACAACAAATCAGAAAAGTAAAACAAACAACAAAATCCACCCCCTCCCCAAAACAAAACTCTTAAAATTTACTCAGAGGAAAATGTTGTAGATGGTAACTGTCTACACTGGATTTGCATAGAGTATACTGTGAGGAAGAAAGGCATGCTGTAATACTAAAATGCTTGTCTTCTGAGATTGTGCTCAGCTGTAAACTTATCTCATAAACAGAAAACCTGGTGTATGTAAAGTGACCTCAGATTTTGCTTTAGATGCAACTAATTTTTATGTTTAACTGTGTTATCCTTAAGGCATAATCCTCATGTATTACAAATTCAAAAAGCATGTCCCCTTGCAGTTCAAAAACCCTCTGTTATGGGTTCCTGTCAGATAATTAGGGTGATACATGAACTGATTTTAGAAGGAAAAGATAATCAGTAAATAGCTGTAACAATTGGAGTTCATCTTTACAAAAGATTTCATAGAGGAACAATAAGTATTGTGTGTGGTTCTAAATGGTGAAACTGTGCTTGCTATTTGTAAACATCTTTATTGTGAGTTTAGTTTGAACTATCAGCCTTTGTGTGAGGGGGTTATCTCCAACATCAGTCATCTTTGTGCAACATCAGGAACCACAGGAAAGCATTCAATAAGGGATATACATGCATCAACCCAAACATAAGACTTTTGTTCCAACAGTTAGTTCTTTGGTTTTGCTCTAATGACATTCTCTTGGAACATTTATTAATGTTAAACCAGTAGTATCTTTCCAGATGTGGAGGGCTAACACCTTTTGCTTGTTTACTGTTACCCAGTAAAAGGAGAAATTTTCTTGTTCCTGAAATATCTTTCTGTAGGACTTTTGCCTCTCTATGGGGCAACCATTAAGAGAAGGATTAATTGGAACCAGATTCAAGTCCATCTTTGGATCTTTGTGTTAATTTGTCTGGCTTCCAAATAAGTGTAACGATTCTTAATCTGAAGAGTGAATTAGTTCATGAAAACATCAATAATAGGGAACTAAAAAACTCAGATATCCACATCTGGAAATGCTGCTGTCTATTTCTCTTTCTACCTGAATGTCTATTTCTGTTCTACCTGACTGTGCAGTCCTGTACTTTAAAGAACAGCATCCTTTGGAAAATCACTTAATGTTATTTTAATCCCATTGTTCAGATAGATCCTGGGTTAACTGAGCAGCCGGTTGTTACAGTGAGAGACTGATTTGGAAGTTAGTTACTAAATTAGGACTTCAGCTTGTTCCTTTACTGTTTATTTTTGTGAGACTTCTGAGAGATGTGAACTCGATATATAGTTTCTTAAAAGGAGTAAAATCAGATTAGCGTTGATGGCAAGCAGTCAAATGATGTTTCCACTTAAAGATTCTGCAGTATCAGCCCGAGAATTTCTATTACTTCTTATTTCTTTGTAGTGAAGTTCTGTACAGATAATCATCTGAAGATGTAAATTATTTTGAGTTCATTAAAGGTATCATTTGCTTTTACTACACTTTTGATTCCTAAGAAAGATTTCAAGAAAAAGGAGGGATTAGGCTTGGCAGTCATATGGGTTTGGTTAATTGAAAAAAACCCCAAACCACTCTCAGCCCAGGTTTGGGCTTGCAAAGGGATGGAATGCTTCGACAGTAATTGTAGTTGCAGAACAGCACAAACATGGGTTAGTAACTTTTAGCCATATGAATCTTTGTATGCACTGTACCCCTGTGGCTACACTGTAAAATACTTCTTTTTATAATTCTTTTATTTTTGTACTTCTTTTTATATTTTTTGTAAAGCCAAGTTTGCGAAGTGCTGATAAAAATCATATTGTAATTAGAGGCCTTGTCTTTCTGCAATGCATACAAAAAGCTTGCAGCTTTTACTATCAATGTCAAACCTTTTCCATAATTCTGTGTTTTAGAACTTACGTACTAGCTAAGCACACTAAAAACCCCTTTATAAACAATTTTTACGATGATATCTGGAACTACTGGGATTTCTGGAAGGAAGTAACGTGATCTGTCAGAGTGTGTCAGAACGACTGTAGTAGTAGCGTGTCAGGAATTTAAACTGATTATCAGTTATTGACTGGCTACATTGTTGATAGATCAACCAACTGTATACTAGTTTATTTGTTTGTTTATTCTATCTTAAGGTGTGAGACCAATAAACAATCGCAGGAGGAAAACGAGGAAGTTGAGGTGAGTATTTTTCTGCTGATAGCTTAGTTCAGTTTATAAATAGCTGGGGAAGTAATTGCTTTAATATATGTTTGGCAATGGTGTTTGCTTTTGCTTATTCAAATTGATAATATTATTGACAATAAATTAGGCACAAGTTACTAAACAAAGCTATTAAGAACAAGGTATTCTCTTATTTTGTCATGAAAACACATGTACACGTTTCATACAAGCACATGCAATTTAATTAGAGGAAGAATCTTGAATAATGATAATAATTAATTTTTAATTTTAGTTATAATTACTGCACATAATAGATCTCTGGATTTTTCTTTTGTTATATTAAACAGCAAGAACTTACATCAAGTCCTGAAGAATTCTCTAGTCAAGAAGAACTGTTGGGTTATTTGGTGAGTGTTAAATCTTACATTGTAATGTAATTGTTGAAAAAAAATCATCACAGAGTTACTAAGTTTAAAATGTACCAAAGTACCATGAAAGTCAAAATATAGGCAGTCTGCTAATCTAACAACATATTTTGTCAGAAGGTGGGATTCAGAATAAAACTAATATTGTTGAATTTATAATATAGCTATTCATTCTAAAGTTTCTAGACAGGGTTTTTGCCAAAGTATTGGTTTACTGTCAGAGGAATGACTTGCATTGAAAATTAATGTATTTTTCTCAGCTATAGCTTAACTCCACTCCTGAACTATGTGATTAAGTAAAATAACCTTTTAAAGTTTGTTTTCCTTTCTTTTATAATTACTCCATCATTTTCAACTGCGGAATGTGGAAAGATGTAAGTCAATAATGGAAGGAAGCAGAATGAAGAAAAGTATCTGAGATATGTAGAAAGGAAAGAAGCAATTTTTAAGAAATAAAATACAAGTTGTATACTTAAACAAACACCATCCCACCCCACCCCCAAGCCATGAACTAAAAAACCCTACCTATTCCATTTGTAAAGTAAGTGGCAGAACACCTGAGTTCTGTTCAGATGTTGGAAATGTGTTATGTACATATTTACAGCAGAGATACAATCAATGAGAGTGGAAAATTAGCAGCTTCCAGTTGTCAGATGTATTAACTTTTGTGGTCTTGCATGCAGAAATGGTGATTTTTATTAAAAGCATCAGTGACAAACTGTACGAAAATCCTTACTGATAGTTGCTGTGACACAGCTACTGCATGGCAATTTAAGCACTGTTGGCTATCATAAAATCTTTTTTCCGCTGTTTAATAGGGAATTATTAGGTGTAAAGATTGCGCCTTGCTAACAAAACTTGAATTTGTTTTGAGGCATCCTTTGCTTAGTATGATTGCCCTCCAAGAACAAAAGAGGACTGCTAGGAATGTGATTGGAACAATGTTCTGGTTTGGAAAGTTTGAGAATTGTTTAATATTAGCATCTACAGTAATTTTAAAAAACTGCATTATGTGTTTCTGTTGCTGGATTCAAAAGGTTTCGTGTGTAGTAGAAAGTAATTTTACAAGTATTGTTTCAGGACTTGCTGTTTATATCATTGAATAATTCCAGTTGTTCAATAATCATCCATACTGTATAATTTTTTTTAATTGCGAAAATTGGTATGCTCAGATTTGTCATTAAAATAATTGTATTTGTTTTTTCAGCTGGTAGCAGAGATATCCTTGCCCAAGTTTAATCTTTTTTCTGCCTATTTGATAAGATCTTCTTTAAATATAACTTGTGCAGACCAGGAGAGTAAATACTATTAGTGTTAAAAATATAACATAATCCCTGTTATGCTGTCACATATTATCTTAATGCTAGTTTTTAATTACTTTTTTCCATTGTCTGGAGTGTTTAAAGGTGTCTGTTTCTAATGCAGAGGACTTTGAATTGTTAGGACAGACCTGCAGTTCTGTTACATTGTGCCCAGTGGAAGTGGTTTTGACAGGACTTCATTAGTATAGATGAGAGGATGATGCATGTAGCATGCTCTGTGAGGGCTGTTGGCGCTAGAACTTGCTCCCCTACCAGAGCTTCAGAGTAAGATTGCTTTTTCCTTAGGCTTTTGGAGAAGAAGAAGGTTAGTATAAGGCAAGGTGGCATATATTTCTAAATTCAGTGGTGTTCTGCTTTTTTGCTACTTTCTGGAGAAATGGGCTGTGACTATATTGCCTCAGGGAAGTTGTACACATTCACATTTGTATGCAGGTACCTCAGAAAGAGATCAAAATACTTAAAGAAAAGCATTTTCCTGTATGTATTTCCAGGCATATTCTTGGTTGTTTCTTTTCAAATGGCTATTTCAGGTAGCTGCATCTTCTTTCTGTTAGGATCTTCTTCCATTCCAACTCCCCACCCTCAATTAACTATTTGATTTGTAACTTCAGTCATGTCTGATAGAAGGATAAAGACATAAAAAAATGAGGTTCCTACAGTTTTTGTTTATATGTGGTGATGTTTTAAAAACTTTCCTTCTGAAAGATTATGTTGTGTGGTTTTTTTTTTCCTAGCAAAGTTTTGAGATACTGAATGAAGATGATGCTTCATTTATCCTAAAAGTTACACAGACTCTTACAGATGCACTGGTGGAATATCGTCAACAGGCCGCATCAAACAAAGTAATGTGGCTTTTGTTTCGGCTTTGTTCTACAAATCTGTAGATTCCTGTGATTATGCTTTTTTTTTTTTTTAATTATTATTACAAATAGTTTAATTAAAGTTTTGCGGAGACTATTTTACGTTTTGCCCATTAAATACTTGAACTTTTGTAGTGATGATAGGATAAACATAGTTTTGCTATTGAGTCAATATTTTCTGTTCAAGGTGCTTGCTTTTTTTTTTTTTTTTATAGAAGCTAAAAATCATCTTGTCTCTCTATTTCCCATGCTCTTCTTTACATTTAAGTTTTTCTGCTCCTTTGGACCCTTTTCTAACTTAAGCTTTTCTCATCTCCGCTGACCTCCCTGACACTCTTTTCTATATCCCATTTTCATTGACATCAGTTTGCTTTCTTATACAAGGTTTGGTCCTACTCTTTGGACTGTTCCCTTTGAGTTCTCTTTCTTCCTTCACTATTCCTCCACCCAGTTTTTCCCCTCTCTGCTATTACTTTTGACTGACTTGTCCTTACATAAGCATAGTATGGAGGTGTTGTTAAGTAATTTGAGGCTGCTGTGGTTCCCACCTGTGTTCCCTATATGTGCAGTTTACATTCCATTATACCATAATCTTCAGTTTCCACTCTTGGAATGACTTTTTGTTCATTGCCCTGTTGTCAACAGGGATGGCAGGAACTTTCCTCTTGTGGTGAACCATTCAACATCATTGCTATAGGAAATACTTTTCTTTATCCCTCCTAGCATTTCTTGCAGAACTGTCAGTGTTGAACAGACTTCTCATTCACCACAACAGCTACTCCTCCTACTACAGCTACTTAATTACTTTTTTAATTAAAGGGTGACCTTAAGTGGAAAATGCCAGATGAGGGTAAGTAACAGCCAAAAAGCCTGAGAGAATCACAGAGGTGACACTTTAAGAAAAAAAAGTTTTGTTTCTTCTTTTAACAGCCTGTCTGAATTCAGGACTTAATTATAAAGTTTATCTTTGTTCCCCATATCCATATTCCCTCTATTGCTTACTTTCTGCCCCAAAGGCAATAATTCTCCATGATAAATTCCATGCCTATAGTTGTCATTAATTACTTACTGTCTTTTTCTTTCTCATTAAGCTTACTTTCACGTTATTCCTGCTGGTTTTTCCATATAGGATTTTGTTGTTTTATTCATATGGTAAAAGGACAAAATCTGACATGTTATAAAACAGCTAAGTTCTAACTGAAGTAACTTTTAACCTACTAGTTGTATAAAAATAAAATGTTTTCCCACATTAGGGGTTTTTAGTATTCTAAACTGTGATCTTTCAACTGGTAATTTTTAACTAAATCTTTTATTCTCAGTGTAAAGTGCTTCCTTTTAGACCTGACAGGTTGAGAATTGGGCTCTGTAAGTACCAATTCTTTGCCTAATACTATGCCTTTTCAGATGTAGAGAAATACTGTAAGCAGTGTATATATACATAGAAGTTCATTACCAGCTGCATGATTTTCAAAGAAATACTTGATTTTTCAGATCTGGTAGCAGAAATACTGGTCTTTTATTTGGTTTGTGATCATTAAAAATGTAGTAGTTCATCATTTCAAGAAGTTATCTTGATGAAACTCTGAATGCAACTTCTTTCAAACTCATAGGACCTCTTAGATACTGAATATAATGGAGAAGCAGCATTGGAATATTCCACAGAACAGTCTGACCTGACTTCAGCAGATATTAGTGACTCTGATACTGGTAATACAGTTTTGCAGTCTTGAATGTGCTTTAATCTTAACACCTTGCATAAATTTTAATAAGCCTTTTTTTCCTGTTTCTCTAAAAGCAGAGTTTAAGAGTAGAATAAAGCCAGGATCAAGTACTGTAAATTAATAGGTGGGGGGGCTGGGGTGTGTGTTCCATCCTCTACAGATGTTAGAAAGGGCAGACTATTAAAAAAACCATGCATCTTACTTAACTGTAGGATTTGGGGAGAAATTGAATTAGTATCAACTCTGACTTTCCTCTGTTCCGAGGCAACTGTTTCTGGGTTTTTCTCCCCTGCCCTCCTCCCTTTTCTTTCTCATCTTGGTGGTGAAGAGGCTTAGTGCAGGCTTAGTCCAAACAAGATGTTAGTGGAAACAAAATTATATTTCATAGGATGGATAATTCTGTTTAATACCTGAATATTGCAACTTCTTGGCTTCAATACTTCTGATTAATTCTTTCAAAGAATCTTTGATATTTTTTAGGTCACATCCTTCTTGATATAAACAAATTGTTATTTTTCTCAAGCATAGGAAGAGTACAATCATATGCCTGGAGAAGCAAAATACCCAGAATACTAGTGAAGCTATTCTGTATGATTTAATTTTTTTAGCGTGCGGTGTCAATTTTTTTTTTTCTAGGAAGTTTAGCTTTTGAAAACCTCCATTAATACAATGCTAATACCAAAATTTCAATGACTCACTTGGAATTTCTGGTTCCTTTTTGAAAGCATAATGGAAATAGCTTCCACCTACCTCCCCACCTGTGTTTCTCTAGGATTTTCTGTAAACAGAAAGCATTCCTGACTCTCAGTTGTATGAAAATGTAGCAAAGTCAGATGTGAACATTACCAGCAGTGCTGCTGTGCCAGACTGAAAAGCCCTATTTAGAGAAATAAATAATGGAGACTCTTCAGAATCTTCTTTTACTGAAAAACAGTATTTCTCTTCTTAAAGACTATTCAAGCAGCCGATCAGCTAAGCAGTCCTTATCAGTAAATGAAGATGATGAACCCCAAAACTTTTCAACTGGCTCTTCGGAAACAGCATATGAGAACAACATCACTACTGAATTTTTGAACAGTGTAAGAAATATGAACGTTGAGGAAGTTACTGCTACTCTACACAAAATAGCAGCAGCAAATCCAGCTTTCAGAGGTAACTCATGTGTATGTGCATGCACACATATATGAAAATATACATAACATAATTTTGTTAGCTCTGTCAAATATTAAGTACTATATGGGTCATAGAACTTTGAGGTATTAAGGAGGGTTGAACAGACTTTTTTTTCCCCTTCTAACTTTTGCAGGATCCAGTTTAAAAATGGTAATTCAAAATGGCTGCCATCACATGCAATGTTAGTTGCTGAATTTGTTTTAAAATTCTTTCTCATTTGTGCATAGTAACATTTACATGATGAAAGTAAACTAAAATCAAGCATATTATTAGTAAAAGAAAGCAGAATCTATTGCCTGTGATATAACTGGGAGAACAGTGGTTTTGCGAATGCCAACAGCAAAGAAATTTGTATTTCTTGATTCCTGAAGGAACTGTACTTGCACAGTAATGAATCAGAGACAAGTAGTCTTTCTTTTTCTTACAAGTTCCTAATAAGTTTCAGCTACTAAACATTCTCACATCTTCAGCCAACTGCTACTCTTTCTTCAGAAGCTTCCTGAGTACATTTTTAAGCTTCTCAGAATGTGTTTAAGATCATCATGGTAAAAAAAAACCAAACAACAATAAAGACAAGTACATTGTAGAGAAGCTTAAGATATTCTTTATCTGAGTGCTCCCTGTGGAAGAAACTAGAGAGAGTACGGTCCATGCCATAACTTCTCCTTGGGCCTGTGTGCACACAACTCAGCAGAGTATATGTTTGGAATGGAAGTTCTGGAACCAATTGACAACATAAAAGACAATGAAAGTAGTAAACTGTTATAACTCTTCCATGAATATCAGCTGGTCCTAGGAACCTCCAGAACAAAATGATTAAGTTACTGATGGTAGTGATTTCTCCCATAAAGTTTCCTTTGGAACCTGCAAATTTGTGGGTGGCAAACTTGGTTCTTTTATGCATATTTGTCTCTTTTTTTTAAAAGGTTTTGTTGTGTGTTGAACTCAACTGCTTGGTCACTGCCCACACCCCATCCCCCAGAGCTGGACAGGGAAGAGAATAACAAAAGAGAGGGGGGAAAAAAAGTGAGAAAACTAGTGGGTCATGATAACAGTTTAGGAAGTGAAAGGAAAGAAAAGGTGGGGAGGAACGAACGATGCAAAGACGACTGCTCAGCACTTCCCACAAGCAGATTGATGCCCTGCCAGTCTCTGAGCAATGGCTGCCTTGGCAGCCAACCCCACCCCCTTGTCCCCCCCCAGTTTTTATTGCTGTGCATGATGTGTGGAATATCCCTTTGGCCAGCTTGGGTCAGTTGTCTCAGTTGTGTCCCCTAGTAGTCTTTTTCCTATTCCCAACCTAATCACCATGGGTGCGAAGAGAGGGAAAGAGAGAAGGCCTTGATGCTGTGCAAGCACCCTTCAGCAAAAGCCAAAATACTTCTGTGTTATCAACATGATTCTGGCCACAAATCCAAAACACAGCACCATACAGGCTGCTATGAAGAAAGTTAACTCCATCCCAGCCAAAACCAGTGCAGGGTTCTAGGTGATCTTTGAAACTACCGACTTCTATTCTACTGTTTAGAAAAACAATGTAGAAATTAGTGCAGATTTGGAAAAGTATGATATGCTTAGAGTGGTTGGTGGGGAATTAATATAGCTTTTGTGGTAAGAAAACCTTCCTTACAGACTTTCTGGAGTTGTTTGAAACGGGTCAGCAAAGGAGTCAGATAAAGGTACTCTTATCAGAGGCTTTTAAGGGAACTAACTGGCTGTGGGAAAAGAGGGAAATCCTTGCATTCTTAAAATAATAAATATAGAGCAAATGGGCAATTGCTTTTTACAATGAAAAGATGTTCCAGTAGAGAACCAGTTATAGGTCTGTGCTATTTAGTGTCTTCATCTTCAATTTTGTCAAATTTTGAAACAGTTAACAGTGTTAGTTGACTGAATTTCAAAAGCTTCTCATCAGACCAGTGGAAATGCCAACTTATCAGTCAGAAGAATATGCTGAATACAAGGAATTAAAGAAAGAATGAAAATAAAGATGGGAGTCATCATTTTGATACTGCATAAGCTCATGCTTTTCCTGTATCTGGCATAGGGCATACAGTTCTGTTTCCCTTATTTCAGATAAAGGACTTTATTACTGCAAAAGGTTTAGAGAAGGCAACAAAATATGGGAGTATCTTCCATATAAGAAGCAATAGAAAGCTAGTACTCTTTGGCCTGGAAAAGAGATGACTGAGATACTGTAACAGAGATTTGTAAAGTCATGAGTGGATGGAGATGACAGACAGGATTCTATTATTTTTTATCTCTTTTGATCCATAAACTTGGAATAGTGTGGGAGTCCAACTTTAAAATGGACAAAAAGAGATGGTTCTTCATGCAGTAGTAGATGGATGATCTATGGAAATCCTAGCAAAAGGCTACAGTGGATACAAAAAATATTACAGGTGTCCTTGTCTTTGTTCTGTGGGCCAGACTGGGTAAGTTTTTGGAGGAAGACTACTGAAAAATTTGCTGTATCAGACTTGGAAAGTTTCTTGAGCTGAAGATGATCTGAGATGGGGAGAGCATAGTATTCCCACACCCCACCAAGCATCAGGCACACTTGCTCTGCTCTTACTCTTCCCTTAACATTTGGCTACGAGTGCTGAATGTTTATTATTAACCACTTAAGCAGTCCCTGTGTTTCTTCTACTTCTCTCTCCCCCTCCTAAAGTCATGGGCATTAGTTTCATCAAAGCAACGTGGCCTTCTTGCTTGTGTTCAGAAGATGACACTTTGACTTACTGTTACAGTAATAAAATCAAGTATTTCTGGTCATGCTTTCCTGATTATCAGCTGCAGATTTTTCAAGGTTGGAGACAGAGTAGAGGGGAAATACAGACCCTTTAACTGAATGAGTACAGCTGATCATAGAAATACAGTTACAATTTTCAGGCACATTCTGATTGTTAACAGTTAGTGTGTTCTTCATTTAATAAGAAAGGATCCAAACTCATGTCAGCATCTCAGTGTTTCATTATAACTTGTGCTTTTAAATGTATTTTATCATAAACCCACTTTTTTCTGTTTTTGTTTGTTTGTTTGCCTTTAACTAAGGAATTGATATTCCAAATGTTATAAGGATCCTGACTGAAAGTGGAACTCTGAGAAGACCAAGCAATGGCAGCACACAGTGACATGGTAGTTAATATAGCAGTGTTTACCTTCTGTAAGTTTGTTGTTTTACTTAATATGAACTCAGTGTAGCCTATTTTGCTATGTTCAAATTTTGTACAGTGTTATTTTAATTAAATGAATAACTTTGTTTTGAGGTTCTTGTTATTTATTTCTCCATATAGCTGAAATTTCTGTATTGTGGAAAGGTTGTAAAGCTCATGTTCTTTCTTTCCATGTTAAAACACACTTTTAAAACAGGTAACTGTTGTTTTTCTTAATATCATTAAATACCATACATTGACAGATCTTTTCTTATTGTTGGTTCTTTTACAAAGAGTTATCAGCAGAATGAACTACTGCAGTCAGCAGTACAAATTCATCCTACAACAAATACTCGTAAGTTATTCCCAGTGGCCGCTGTGCCTGACTCAAAAGCTTTTGTAATCAAAAATCCTCTCCCGTATAAGGATTACTAATTGGTCTCTGCATATTTTTTTTAAATAATTAAAAATAGTAATAAAAAGTCAGTGCTGTCAGTCCTTAGTTCTGCGTTGAGAAGTGCCTGGATTATAGCCAATTTAGGGAGCCTAGACAATTGAAAGCTTTAGCAAAGTCAACAGAGGTTGGCCATGCTTGCAAATTCAGGGGTATGTCCCAAGAGATCTCACCAGACTATGGTTAAGAGGCACTGATGTGCTAGCGGAAGTATCATTTGCCTTCTCTTATCCCACCAGTATGAGAATGAAATGAAAGCTGGTTTATACTGTCTGTCATTTCAGGCTCTTTTAATGTGAACTTTTTCCCAACTAAAGCGGTAGTATGTTTGACTGAACGTAAAGGTCTATATATTAATGATTACTACTTTTGTAGCATGATGAAAGATGTTTTGGATGGTTACAAATTAGTGTGCTTGGGAGAAAAAAAAAAAATAATTAAATTGTGTAATTAAAATTTGCTTCCTGCTTGTGATGTTGGGTAGCATTCAGTGGTTCTAATTAAAGCTCTTCTGCTTTGCAGCCAAATGCTGGTATAATATAGACATGCCGGGGCCAGATGGTAAATGAACCTTTTAATGTTAACTTACATTTTTTTTTGAGATCTGAGTGGAATTGAGAATCCTCATCCTGATGGTTTCACATCTTCATATCATGGAATGCAAGATGCCATAAAAATAAGGTAACAAAGAAAGTAGCAACAAAATTGGTTAGTTTTGTTCTATTAACAGACACAGGAATAAGAAGTTCACTGACAATTAAAGAAATTAAACACAAAATGCTGCTTTAAAGAAATTGTGAAGAATTTCTGGAATGCCTCTAAATATGTTTTTGTCAGAAGCAGAGATAGAACCAGAGCTGTTACAGCTCATTTGCTCTGTAACAGGGACAATGTTAATACCTACTTACATGGAGATGAGCTTGATCAGTAAAAACATCTTTTAGTTGATAGGAAATTCTGAATTCTGTTCCTGTAATACAGAAAATAATAATAGAAACATTTTTTTTTGTTTGTTGTCAAAGTGTAGAACATGCTATTAATTAAAATAATAAAATCAGAGTGTTCAGCTGTTGGAAATCACCATTTTTTGGGACAACTTCTTTTTCCTCTTAATGTGGAATCGTACCTAGTGGAAATAAGGTTAAAATCAAGTTGAAATTTCTTGGATTTGAGGTTGGGTTTGGGTTTTTTTTTTGTTGTGTTTTTTTTTTTTTTTATTTGATGCAGGAGAAGCATGACGAAAATGGAAAGACCTTTGAATCTATAGCACACATAAAATGGTTTGAATGATATGCTGCGGAGTGCTGCTGCTGCTTCTCAAAGACAGCTGAGAAAACTGAACTGCGCAAAAATCATAAAGTGCATGCTTCTGGAAATGTTTACTGAGAACATAGTCTATTCAGTTGTATTTTCCCCTTGGTGTTTTTTTTTGTTTCTGGTGCAAATAGATGCTGCAAAAGAATTGTTTTGTTCTTTTATCTGCCTGTGTTTTGTGATGGCTTGGTATATTCTCACACTAATGGAAAACTGTATGCTTGTTCCAAAACTATTTTTAGAGATAATGTTTTACTTGTGCAGGAATTGCAAACTAAAGAAGAAAGTCATTCTCCTTACTAATGATGCTTGAATGATGTTGCTGACCATATTTAATACCATCCATTTTGTTTCTCACAGCGACAGCAATGCAGACATCTGGGGTAACTGGAGAATTTATAGAATTAAAATTTAAGCAATAGCAAGAAAAGCTATGCTGAGAGAAGAGTATTTTTGCTTTTAGCTTTACCATAGTTCTACACATGCGAGACCAGAGAGCTACTGGGAAGTGATTTTTTTAACGAAAAAAATGCCTAACATCTATGCCCTTTAGAAGGCAGGAGGTGGGCAGAAGGGTATTCACAGGTGAAGTGATAGGAAGTGAAAAGTTCTGAGTGTGCAACAGAAAAGTTACTGTCTGGTGTCGACTGTGATGATTCCTGTTCTAGGCAGGTACAGAAACATCGTCTTCTTGCGCTGCTTTCCTGCGTCTTGTAGGATGTGCTCTGTCCTGCCAGGAGAATTCATTACCCGCTTTTAAGCAGCAAGCTTGATCTAGGTATCAGCGTACAAAATGATATCGTGTGCCTGGTGCTTCGATACCGCATGTGACACCTGAAACACGGGCGCTGACTCCGCATTCTCTCTTCTACGTGTTTTCCAGCTCGACAAGCGCAGGTGCCGGGATCTGCTCCTACTAATGCGTCGTTACCACCCGGGAGCGCATCACGCCGGGGCAAAGAGAAAAGTTAAAAAGAAACGTTGGCGGTCCGTCGTTATGGTTGAACACTAAA